CTATACTATGCTGGGGCTATACGTTTACGGAGTTTATTCATTACAAATTAAAAAATAAATCTTTCCTCTTTATTAAGCTAGATATCTCTGCCCAAAATATCAGTATCAATAGATACTAAATATATAAAAAAAAAGACCTAGCTAGTGTATAATGTACAATATTATAATTTAATAAACTGGTTGCATAGGTTTAATATAAATATTTTTCAATCGATATGACTTGGGTCTGATTAAAACCAAAACCCTTTCGTAAAATACGCGCTTCAAAGAAGAAAAAAAACAAAGAAAAAAAACTTGAGAAACTTTAACGAACTCTCAAGCGAATATTAGAAAAATAAACACTTTATAAAAAAAAAAAATAAACATTAGCATTGACTTAGAAGGGGAAACAAATTCTTAAAAAATAAATCGCTGAATGACAGCTCGCTGCGTCTCGCTCGCACCTATAGTTTTATTCTTCTGTCTCACACTAGCGTGGAGGCAAAGGGCCTAAATTTTTAATGCTATACCATAAAAGTTTACGAGCCACAGTGGAAGTGGTTTCGTGATAAGGAAATTTCAGTCAATATTAAGCCTCTAAACTATGTTTGTCGTGCGGTGTTACTCGATTTTTCATAATGTTTATAATGGTTAACGAATTTTTAAAATAAACAAATTTGTATCACGGAAACGTGACGAACAGACAAAAACGTGACCATTAAGCATTTTGGTATTTTTATAATACCTTTCAAAACATTTACCAGAGGGAGACTTTGTACAGAAGTCGTTTGCTTGGGTACCTCTGTCCCATTCATGTTTCAACCGTAAAGCAGTTGTGTTTGCATGGCTGTGTTCCGGTTTGAAGGGTGGGATATGGCGTGAATTTACAGGGTACAGAGGAATAACACTTCGAGTCCTCAGGAATGGCAACGCATGGGGGGTATCATGAGCGAAACAGTATACTCTGTTATGTCCACGGTACTGCTCATGTCTATAGGCGACGGTTACCACTTTCCATCGGGTGGCCATTCTAAGTTTTTTTTTACACCACTGAGGTGGCAAACAAGCATACGGCCCACCTGATGGTAAGTGGTTGCCGTAGCCTATGAACACCTGCAATACCAGAGGTATTACGCGCGCGTTGCCGACCCTGAAGAAACCTCTTTACCCCCCTTTTAAAGAACCCCATGCTGTAGTCTCTTGGGAAAACCTCGGTAGGGAGCTCATTCCACAATTACGCTTTGGTGATATTTTAAGAAGGACGCTGCGGACCATAACTCGATTATTAAGTTCCCTTAATCGCCTATTACGACACTCACTGGAAAGAATGAGATGGCCCACTCTATGCCGGACCATACGGCCATGCCGAGACATTATATAATGTAATGCGTATATATTAAAACTAAATTAATTTTTTTTTATATTAAGGCGTGTCGTTGAATACATACTTAATTACATATAGAAAAAAATAATGCGACAGGACGTCTGTGCGTGACCAAGTGAGCGTGATGAGAGCCGAGCCTCTAACGGTATAATGTTTCGCCCCGGCTTGATTTGTGTTGAAGGTAACGGCAGGCATTGAACCATTTCATAACATTCCTAGTTAAACGAAAAACTTGTTATAATTAACCTACTTTTTTTTTTTGATGGGTGAAAATGGTACGATAACCCCGCCTGCGCTAACGGGATACGCTTGCGGAGCACCAGTGAAGGGTGATAGATGAGAATGAAAACAGGCCAGTTAGCCCATCATGATGAATTCATCAGGAATTAACCATGATAGTTTCCAGAGGGAACTGCGAGGAGATCGACCTGGTTGGGTATATTGCTAGCAATGGGATTCTCAGTCTCCATTACTAACAATCCCTTTCCCCCCTAAACTTACTTAGTTGGATCAAGTCCAAGAATTCCAATAATATGATTACAAATGAAATTAATGTAAAAGGGTGTTATAAGAATCGACTAAGGGAGGGCGAGAGATGGGCAGCAGCGTCCCCCTTAAAACATCACCCAAGCCTAACTGCGATTGCAAACCTGCATACCAAGCGTGGCAACTATTGGCGAACCCTCCTTTTTTTATACCACTGAGGTGGCAAACAAGCATACGGCCCACCTGATGGTAAGCGGTTACCGTAGCCTATGAACGCCTGCAATACCAGAGGTATTACGCGCGCGTTGCCGTTCCTGAAGAAACCTCTTTACCCTCCTTGAAGAACCCCATGCTGTAGTCTCTTGGGAAAACCTCGGCAGGGAGCTCATTCCATAATCTGAGTATTCGTGGGAGAAAACATCTCTGAAACCGCGTTGTACGCGACCATTTAAGCTGTAGGATATGAGGGTGAACTCCCTGTCAATGGCGAGCCGTACGATGATAGAGAGTGGCTGTGGGCATCATATTGAATAATTCCTCTGAGCACAATCCGTTGTACAGGCGGTAGAACACGCAGAGTGAGGCAAAATCTCTCCTAAGACTTAAGGGTTCGATACCGCTTGCAAGCATGGGATCATCTACAATTCTCATAGCTCGTCGTTGCACTTTTGATAGAGTCCCATGTTTATAGTGGGCAATTAACAGCTGATATGTTCGTGATGATAGGATGGTGATGATGATGATGATGATTAAATCCACAGTGCTCAAGCTTTTTTTTGTTGATGACGGTTAAAATTCAAATATCCCGTCGTTTCATTTCCATCAATACCAATGTATTCCGAGTCAATAGCTAGTACTACGCTTTTGGCTGACGGACGTGTATTCCAGCGGGGACGTTATGTGTAAAGCTGGGGTTTGTTTGCTAGCGGAACGAAAGGCGATAGCGGGCGTCGTCAACTTTTTTTTGTCCTTATAGACACGTCAGTCCCATCGTATCATAATCAATTTTAGGACGTCATTGGACATATTTTAACAATGAAAATATACCACCCACCTAATCGAATAACAAGAACGGAAGGAATGTCGTGGAACAATTATATGATTTACATAGGTGGAAGAGAGAGAGAGAGCTCTCTCTCTAGAGAGAGAGAGAGAACTTAATAATTTATCTACAATAAAACCTACGTCTAACCATATCATACACTAGCCTCGCGTTTCATTAACTTTTGTTATAACACAAATGATCCGCTCCGATTTCGTACGTGCAGTTAGTATTTTTATAAATAGATTGAATTAGATACATACTTTATTTGTATTACTACACACAATTTTTTTTTATACAACTTAGAATGACAAACAAGCTGACGGCCCACCTAATGGAGAGTGGTAACCGTCACCTATAGACATGAGCAGTACCATGGACATAACAGAGTATACTGTTTCGCCATAATAACTTCCATGCATTGCCATTCCTGAGGACTTAGATGTTATTCCTCTGTACCCAGTAAATTCACGCCATATCCCACCCTTCAAACCGAAACACAGCCATGCAAACACAACTGATTCACGGTTGAAACACGAATGGGACAGAGGTACCAAGCAATCGACTTTTGTACAAAGTCTCCCTCTGGATGGCTGGAAGAGATCTCTTATATCTTAGAGATAAGTCCGCCCTCGCTAATAAGTTGTTAAACTAATCGCTATATCTTTTGTTCAAGCTCGTCGCTCCGCTACGCTCCCCGCTCACAGTCACACCGCACGCCGTCTGGCGACGGTCCAAGCGAGAAAACCTACATTTTATTTATTGTTGTCTGGCCATGGTTTTTAGTCTCGAGATCTTTTCATGGGGATATTTTGTTGATTAGATTTATAGTAACAGCTTTACACGCCACACTATAAACACTTATTTCATGGTATACTATGCACCTGGCTGAATTACTTCCTATCTTTATTTTCAATAAGGAATTTCGCGACTGGCTCTTGGCCACAACAGCATATTAGTGTTTTGCTCTTTTGAGGGCAAAGCAATAAACTGAGTTGTGACCATTTTGTGTTACTGTGGCACACGCACCAAAGAAGGAAGATGTGTTTTATATATTTTGCTTTTTGTTTTTTTATTTTGTAGCTTTGTTTTTTTGTTTTTCATTCTTTTATCTCTTTTACTGTGTATTATGTGTATGTTTTTTTTATTGTAATTTGTGTGCTGTAAGTAATGTAAATAAATTATCTATCTATCTGTCTATATATCTATCTTTAACCGTTGGAGAAGAAAGATTCTTGAGTGGCGACCTCGTACGGCCAAACGTAGTGTTTTTTTTGCGTTTACGTAAACATTGGGAATTAACTGAGTTCACTATTGGTATACCAAGTGTAATAGTCAATCTATTGTCTATTTATTTGGTTTGGTCTCAAGTTTTCTTGTTTTCATATGTATTAATATTATAATTTTATGATATGACATGTGGAGTGAATTATATTGAGAACCTTGAATGCCATATAGGGTTTAATCTGCCAAGCGCAGTGTAAGACGACCCCCCACTAGATAAGGGTGACGACCTCAAATGAATTACAGGGAGTCAGTGAATACAGATGGCTTAGGACCGTTCGTTCCTTATTGCAGTCTACCTTTTTTTTTATACCACTGAGGTGGCAAACAAGCATACGGCTCACCTGATGGTAAGTGGTTACCGTAGCCTATGAACACCTGCAATATCAGGGGTATTACGCGCGCGTTACTTCAAATGCATTGCAGGGAGTCAGTGGATGCAGGTGGCTCAGGACCGTACCTTATGGCAGTCTATGGGGGAGGCCTATGTCCAGCAGTGGACGGGTAATGGCTGAAACGATGTTGATGATATTAAGTCCGCAATTTATACTAATTAGGTATATCTATCTATCTATCCTATTTAAGAGCCGCGCTCTTGTCGGTGGAGCTCTTGCCACTCACTACGATTTGCAGCGAGTCCCTTCACCTCTTGATACGACACGACACCAACTCCTTCCTTGATCTGCCCGATGTAACTATGTCTCGGTCTCCCTCTTCCCCTCCTTCCTTCTATCTTACCCTCTATTATAATGTTCGTAAGTTCGTCGTGTCGTATCAAGCGTCCCAACATAGGTATATGAATAAATAAAGTAAAAAAAAACTTACGATATTTCTCCAAAGGGCGCGAACGCATCTCTTAGACTTTGGGTCTCAATTTCCGGACTCAGATCTCCCACGAAGATATGATAGTGTTCTGTAACAAAAATTTAGTTTAATTTAGATTTTTGTTTAAATATGCACAATGAAATTTAAAACTATGCCTTCCCTATAGATAAACGTCGCCTATAGACATGAGCAGTACCGTGGACATAACAGAGTGTACTGTTTCGCCCATGATACCCTCCCATGCGTTGCCATTCCTGAGGATTCAGGTGTTCTTTTTTTAATGAGTGAAAATGGCATGGTAACACCGCCCGCGCTATCGGTATACACCGACGAGGCACCAGTGAAAGATGATAGGTGAGAATGAATGCAGGTCAGTTGGCCCACCGTGATGAATTCGACAAGAATTAAATATGATGGTTTTCAGGGGGAACCGCGTGGAGGTCGACCTAAGAGGGTATATTGCTATCAATGGGGCTATTAGACCCCATTACTAACAATCCCTTCCTCCCGGACTCAGGTCTTATGCCTCTGTACCCTGTAAATTCAGGCCATATCTTACCCTTCAAACCGAAACACTGGAGGGAAAGGGATTGTTAGTAATGGAGACTGAGAATCCTATTGCTAGCAATATACCCAACCAAGTCGACCTCCTCGCGGTTCCCCCTGGAAACTATCATGGTTAATTCCTGATGAATTCATCATGATGAGCTAACTGGCCTGTTTTCATTCTCATCTATCACCCTTCACTGGTGCTCCGCCAGCATATTCCGTTAGCGTAGGCGGAGTTACCTTACCATTTTCACCCATCAAAAAAAAAAAAACCGAAACACTTGCAACGCACCGGTACCCATGGTGCGCTGCATTCCTTTGGACTTGTATGATGCCTCTCCACTATGTAATTTCATTGCCATATTCCATTCTTATATACTAACTAGCTGACTCGGCATACGTTGTTTTACCATATACATTATTTCGAGAACTATACATGAAAATTTGTCATACTACAATTATTATATTGGATTGCCATCTTGCAACCCTATTGCAGCATATAAAAATCGCGATTAAAAAACAGGAGTTGATCGTAAAAGCGTGAAAATTTGTATTTGTATGTATTTTTCAATGCAAAATTATAATAAAAAAAAAATAAAAAAAATTGTCAAAAAAAATATATATATATTTAGGGGTGGGTCACCCTTATCATTGAGGGGTATTAAAAATAGATGTTGGCCGATTCTCAGACCTACCCGATATGCACACAAAATTCCATAAAAATCGGTAAAGCCGTTTTGGAGGAGTTTGGTAACAAACACCGTGACACGAGAATTTTATATATTAGATATATAAATATGGTTACATTAAATTTTGAACTTAAAGTCATTGCTTATACGGTTCATTTTTCAGTGACACAAAAAATATGCTCGAGTTTCCGTTTGGTATGTGCTGACCGGGTCCTCCCCAAAGTAGGACAAATCCTAGATAATCCGGACGCGTGGTAACCCCGTAAATAGATAAGCTAAACCAAGATAACGGATAGTGGCGGAAAATATTACGTGAGCGTAGTCGGTAGTCGCAGCTAGTGTTACAATTGTGAAAGTTTGTAAACGATTTTTTTAATTTTTTTTTATTCTAATATGTTGGATACCTTAAGGTAATTGGTACAAGAAATACTATGTAGATGGCGCTAGAATGACTAGCGTGACTTGTAGTTTTTGTTGATTATTCTATAATTAAAGATAATTTACCAGAGGGAGACTTTGTACAAAAGTCGATTGCTTGGGTACCTCTGTCCCATTCGTGTTTCTACCGTGAAGCAGTTGTGTTTGCATGGCTGTGTTTCGGTTTGAAAGGTGGGATATGGCGTGAATTTACAGGGTACAGAGGAATAACATCCGAGTCCTCAGGAATGGCAACGCATGGTGGGTATCATGGGCGAAACAATATATGTCCATGGTACTAAATGGTAAAAAATAAATAAAACCATTCGCCAATTTCGAAATTTTGCCTCAAACTATCTTTAATTACAAAATAATCAACAGAAACCACAAAACTCGATTGTAGCGACATCTAGTATTTCTGACAAAACCATTTACTGTGATCTAAAAACTAAAGTGCTGAAACGATTTTGTTAATATTTCTAAGGAACCAATATCCTTTCAGATACAAAAACAATATTTCGAATCGGTTTATAACTGACGGGGTAACAAACATAACAACAAAATACAAACACAAATTGAGAACCTCCTTTTATTTGAAATCGGTTAAAAATAAAAAAAAAATAGTCCACAGAAAGAGTTTGAGCACCGCTGCTCTACTCTCGAACCGGCATCTTACCGGTATATTTACTGATATATCCGAATAATCCGCCAGCGGGAGCTGTGATAGGCATATTGAATCAAATCGAATTTGTAGCCAAAAGGCAGTCCCATAGTGAATCAGGGCCGCTACTGTATCGACAATGTGGGCTGGAACCTGTTACTTACGGATAATGCCGGTTAAATCTGGTTGTGTATTGATCATCGGTAGTGTGAAGCAGTTTGACATATGCCTGTGATGTCATCTTCTTAACATGATAAAATGGGAGATATTTGAGACATGGGCGATATTTAAGCCATGGTAGATATGTTTCGGTTTGAAGGGTGGTATATGGCAGTGAAAATACAGGGTATAGAGGAATAACACCTGAGTCCTCAGGAATGGCAACGCATGGGGGGTACAATGGGCGAAACAGTATACCCTGTTATGTCCATGGTACTGCTCATGTCTATAGGCGACGGTTACCACTTCGGTTCGCCCATGATACCCCTCATGCGTTGCCATTCCTAAGGACTCAGGTGTTATTCCTCTGTACCCTGTAAATTCACGTGAAATAAGTAGCGGACAAAAATATAGTTATACACAAAGTTAGACAAATATATATATATATATATATATATATATATATACCACACCCACACACGCACGCACGCACGCACGACCACGTGCGTCGTGCTTCAGGGGACACGTAAAGCCATCATCCGTTAAGCCACGTCAGAAGTCTTCGCGTACAAAGAAGATGGCCTAGAAACACTTGGCAAGCAGGTGGTGCCCTCTCACGATTAGTAATAGCAATTTAAATACTATGTTACAATCGTGTTGAAATGTAATGAAAAAGTAACCATATTTTATTGAAATTATCACAGGAATACTTTTTAAATGAAATTAGTAATAAATGGAGAATCATTCGATCAGTGGCTATGTGGTCCTGCCATAGAATACCCCTTTATTTCCCATAGGTGTCGTAAGAGGCGATTAAGGGAGGGCGAGAGATGGGCAGTAGCATCCCTCTTAAAAGATTTTTAAAGCCGAACTGCGTTTGCCAATCCGTCTGCCAAGCGTGGCAACTACTGGCAAAACCCTTAGGGGAAGGCTTATGTCCAGCAGTGGACAGTTAAAGGCTGGTATGATGATGACGATGACAACTATTGGACATCAGCGAACTTCGAAAGTTACGAAAATTATTTCTGTCTGTTTATATTTTAATCAAGGCGCACATATACTTTAATCGTGCGTGCGTGCGTGCGTGTGTGCGTGCGTGCGTGCGTGCGTGCGTGCGTGTGTGCGTGCGTGCGTGTGTGCGTGCGTGCGTGGGAGCGTGGGTGCGTGCGTATGTGGGCTTGCATGTACATGGGTATCTAGTTACACTAATATAATAAAGAGGAAAATTGTATTTTTGTGTGTATGTATGTTTGTAAAGAAAAAACTAAAAAAACTACTCTATCGATTTCAAAAATTCTTTCACCATTAGAAAGCTACATTCACCCTGAGTAACATAGGCTATGTTCATTGCTAGAAAAGATTAGGGATCCTTACTAAAACTTTAGTAACGTAACTCAAGGTGAAAAAAAAAATGCTATAAAATATCTTTGGTCGCGTGCGCTGCGGAAACTATTGGTGATAGAACAAACATATGTTCTACAATATTGAAGAAAATATCAATAGCTACAAAAAACTTCGCGATACTATATGTCCAACTATTATCGTTATGTCACAATAATCACTTTTTGAAAATGTTGTAAAAATGTCCACCCGTGCGAAGCCGAGACGGATCGCTAGCAGTATATATATTTGTAGTGTATATGTTACAGACTATGTAGTAGGCTTACAAGCGGTATCGAACTCTTAAGTCTTAGGAGAGATTTTGCTTCACTCTGCGTGTTCTACCGCCTGTACAATGGATTGTGCTCAGAGGAATTGTTCAATATGATGCCCACAGCCACTTTCTACCATCGTACGGCTCGCCATCGACAGGGAGTTCATCCTCATGTCCTACAGCCTCAATGGTCGCGTCCTGCGCGGTTTCAGAGATGTTTCCTCCCGCGAACACCCAGGTTATGGAATGAGCTCCCTGCCGATGTTTTCCCAAGAGACTACAGCATGGGGTTCTTCAACAGGGGTTAAAAGGTAAAGAGGTTTCTTCAGGGTAGGCAACGCACGCGTAATACCTCTGGTATTGCAGGTGTTCGTAGGCTACGGTAACCACTTACCATCAGGTGGGCCGTATGCTTGTTTGCCACCTCAGTGGCATAAAAAAAAAGGAATATGTTTAGCAAATGTCTTTAACATCTGAATAACGTTCAATATTCTTTCCATATCTAAAAGGCAATGGAACGTTCTGTATATTCATGTAACACTGGTTTATATATGCTAGCTCGATAGCGTGTTGAACTTAGGCTAGGGTGTGGCCACTTGCTTATTTTTCGCAGGACGTCTTTCGCAGACTTACGCGGTTAACCATAAAATGCTTACTAAGTGTAACTAATAAATACATTCCAAAATTATATAAAAAGTAGCCTAAAGTCTCTCTCCCAGTAATATAGTGCGTGTATAAATTTTCATAGTGAATGGTTAAATCGTTCAGGCACTAAGGGATAACAAATAAATAAATAAACAAGAGGGAGACTTTGTACAAAAGTCGATTGCTCGGGTACCTCTGTCCCATTCGTGTTTCAACCGTGAAGTGTAACCGCGAAGTAAATACCATCCGAATTAATAAACAGGGCCATCTAGTTATAAATTAAGGAAAACTATTACTGAGCTAAGGAGCGAAAT